ACAGCTCTACAGCTTTCTACAGCTCTACAGCTCTCTACAGCTCTACAACTCTCTACAGCTCTACAGCTTTCTACAGCTCTACAACTCTCTACAGCTCTACAGCTTTCTACAGCTTTCTACAGCTCTCTACAGCTCTACAACTCTCTACAGCTCTCTACAGCTCTACAGCTCTACAGCTTTCTACAGCTTTCTACAGCTCTCTACAGCTCTACAACTCTCTACAGCTCTCTACAGCTCTACAGCTCTCTACAGCTCTACAGCTTTCTACAGCTCTCTACGGCTCTACAACTCTCTACAGCTCTCTACAGCTCTACAACTCTCTACAGCTCTCTACAGCCGGTGAGTGTTTTAAGTTTGAAGAAACTCAGAAGTTGAACCCTTTAAAAATGATTAATAATGGTTGTTTTATTCAATATTAATCAAGTTTTATCTTTAAATCTGGGATATTCAACTAAATTGCTCAAAGGGGCAGTTACTGAAAGCCAAGAGCTCAGGGGCCAGACATCCAGCAGATATTATTGTTAAGTAAGATTGTTTTATGGTTTAAAATCTAGTTTTATTTACAAACAAAACCATTGGTGGGTCGAATTGAGCTCACCTGTGGGCCTGATTTAGGCCCTGTGCCACCAGTTGAAAAGCCCTGCTTTAAATCATGACGTTACAGATGATGAGATAATATTCCATCGTGATACTATTTAGAGTTGAAGTGTCCCTAGCCAATTTTCAAATATCTTAAAAAAACAAAACAAGTTTAATAGTTTATTATATAAAAATGAATGTTTATAAAATATAGTAAATTTCCTAATATAATCATTCTTTTGTATCAAAAACAAAATGCAGCAAAAAGTAAAAAATGTTCAAACATGTTTGTTTATAGTAGTTTTTCTCACAATATTTTACGTGTAAATTTGCAGTCCAGTTCTGAAATGTTTGGCAAAATTTCATGTAATTTAAGAATACTGGAAAAAACGTATCAAATTAAACTAAATCTGTACATTTACAATATAGTTTACAGTTTAGCCATTTATGAGCTGCTACAAGGTCAGGATTGTGCTGCAAACGTATTTTACAAAAAAAAATACAAAGATCGACTGTTTTAGCTGCAATTTTCATATAATTTTGTAGAAGTTATGTAAATTTGCTATCAAACACAATTTTACATGTGATTTAACAATCTTTCAAATAACTTTTGGTGTATTGATGTTTTTTTTAAGAATACCAGAAAAATGTTTAAAGTAAAACAAGATGACAACTATGACTGGTACTTCTTTAAGATGAAGTATAATCAGATAGAAGTTTTCAAATTAGATTTTTTTTTTTTTCAGCTGAGCTTTTTCATTCTACAATGATTCAGTTTAGTTTTTCTGTTGGTTTTTGTCTTACCTTCACATTGGACACTAAAAAAATCCACTTTTTATAAAAATAAATAAAAATAAAATTTCTTTACCGGAACATTTCCAGTCTCATTTCCTGCTATCCCACCAAAACAGCACAGTGGCTAAAGTTTTAAGTAATGTTTTAGAACAGCTGTAAAC